AGGCTAAACACGTTTCCGGTGTTTGGTGACTTTGACTTTGTTGAACGCTTTCCAGGTATCGCAAATGTGCGCGAACCTACGTAAGGTTATATTTTTTCAAAAACGATATGCGAATATGGGAGGGTATAATGTTTGAAAGGTTAATTTGGGAAACTTTTCAGCCACGTGTCATTTCCCAATTTTCCGACTCCTGCGCAAGCGACCCCGCCGCCTCCCAGACCCACTCATCCCAAGCCACCTTCTCTGACCGGAAGTTGGGCTTTACTCTGCGGACTCTATGTTTCCGGCTGCACCCGAAAGGGGGACGGGGGGCTAAGCCCTGAGTAGAGCTCGACTGATGGTCCGGTTAAGGGCAGTGAGGGATAAGTGAGGGCGTCTGGTCCCCTGGCCGTCTTTTGATCGTTTGTTCATGTTCAACGGATTTTAAGGTGATGTAACCATAAATGTTTCCACGTACTTTTAGATTGTATATTAGAGTTGTTACAGTATCGCATATATTGATAGCTAGGTAAAAATTGAGAAGTCATTACGTCTATAATAATATAGACAAACTTTCAACTGATCTTTTTACATATGATTTAGCAAACAACGTTGCATCACTACGTGTCTCCCTGTCGGAGTATTATCCTTCTCATCGTGCATCAAGTACCCTCGAGCTTCGCTACGAGTCCAGGGAACAATACAAGCTTCCACGCAGTCTTGGCGAAAAATGTTTTGAAAAGCACGACAAAAGTAAATTTGTGGTGCAGACTTGCGTGCACCAGCTTTACTATACTGAGTCAAATTATGCAAAGCAACATGCGCTTGCTTCCTCTTGGTAGCGCAATTTTCTGGCATGTCCTTGAATTGCGTCCAGTGCTCTTCAGCCCGTATCGCGTGAACCTTCACTTCGCTATCTTTAGTTTGTCATACGAAATGTTCTTCCGGTGGACATCTCAGATTGTATAGCCATACATGGGGATGCATATGGAGCATGTCCATTGACTTATGTGGATTCATCTTTACCAAATTTAAGGATCTCGATTTTATATGCGCCGCATATTCCAGCTCAAGTGTTTAAACGTCAAAATCTATACCCTCCCCTTCAGCGGGGCTACCGTAGCTTTGCGCTTTGAGGAAGCGTAAGTTAGGTCACCGACCTTTCGTTCCATACTTAGAACAAGTACGAGTTTAGCGTATCGCAATCCGCTAACTCCGAGAGTAATTATTGCCTTACCCAAGGCTAATTAACTATTCCGTTTAAATCATAAACTGACTTTATTTATTTATTTATTTATCTGCGGCAAGCCAAAATGTGTAGATTTTCCTAAATATATAGAGTAAAATCTAAATACATGCATAACTACTGGCTACCCAGCCACGTACCGTATTCTTATCTGGGTGCTGCGGCGGGCTGCCGTAGCTTAGTGCTTGAGGAAGCGTAATTTAGGTCACCGACCTTTCTATCTCTACTTAGAACAAGTACGAGTGAGCAGATTGCGATCCGCTTGCTCCAAGAGTAATGATTGCCTTCCCTAAGGCTAATTAGCTATTCCGTTTAAAATCCGGAACTGATTTTTTTTATCTGCGGCAAAGCCGCCTAATTTTAAATGTAAAGATTTTTCTAAATATATATAATAAAATCTAAATCCATGCATCACTACTGGCTACCTAGACCCGTACCGTATTCTTGTTTGGGTGTGGTCACACCATGTACATCTCGTGTGACATACACCCCTGTTACCAGAGTACGTGTAACCCCGTTACACCCTCCCCCATTAAGATTGAAAACCATTACAATTCCAATCGAGTATTGCCTCAACAAGGCTCGCGTGTCCGCTAGACACTGCAACTCAATTTGTTGGAATAAAACGACTTCCTTGCTCAATGAGCCC